TCTTTCCCTCTCTCTCTCTTTTTGTTTTTGTTTTTGTTTGCAATAAACATAAGTTCTTGTGTACAGCCTTTTATTTGGTTTATTTTTTTTTTAACATTGTTTTGTCTGCTGCCATTTGTATAATGCCAACCTGAAAACATTGAAACTTCTGCAGTCTTTATGAGAAAGTAGTGCTCAGCAAAAGATTGGTGGGAGGTGATCCTGTCCAGTGGGGTTTTGTGATGGAATTACCTGAAAGCCCTTATCGAAGAGGGATTTTTACCTATAAGGTAGAATAAAATTTGCCAATTTACACTAATGAGAAATTGTATGTCTTTGTAAACTTCTCAATTTCCCACAAACCTTTTACAATTATCATACAATATTCTGGAAATTCACAGTGTTTCATAACAAATTAGATGATTTAGCAAATTATAAATGAATTTTAAAGTTTTTGGGGTGAATTTTCTGAAAAACACATTTAATTTTTACAAGCTAGTGTCTGAATTTGTGGTTGAGCATTCTTTCTATTTGTCCAGTTTGGTTTCCATTTCATAATCATATACCATATACATTACTACATAACATTTACATGACTTTATTACTCATTATCAACACATTCAGTCTTGCTTATGTTGTTTTCTTGTTGTTAGGACAAAGGTCATATGTACCGATGAATTGCAGGTTGTTCTGTTATTATACCATGTACCCCTAAATGTGTCCATAATTTGTGTGTGAACTCTGATTCTAGTCTTGCTACTTTTAGTTACATTCCTGTTTAGCATGTTAGAGCCATGAAACTTTTTTTCCCTATGGGATGAGAAAACTTGCTGTCTGGCTTAACAGGTAGGAAATCTTAAAGACATTCAGTAGATAACTCTATCTGTGAGATAAGAAATTTCTTATTATGAGATGTTCCATTTTGATTTAAAGAGGGTATCTGTAAAAGGAGTGATGATTGACAAGTGTTTTTTGTTCCTAAAGATAATTTTCAACAGAACAGTTGAAAGGCTTTAAAACTTACAGGTAAAAGCTTTATGAGAAGAAGAAAAGTGCTTTGTAAAGTGAGTAGAAATTGGAAGTAATCTCTGCGTCCCATGGAGGGGAAACTTAGCTACATGAAACTCATGTATATGTGAGAACTTAGGCATGTATATTGAGGTTTTGTGCTAGCATTTCTGAGTTCATGGATTTATGTTATCACTTTCTTACCATTTTAAGGAACTAGAAAATATTTATATCCATGAATAAACGGCTTAGCTGATTTAACACATATACGTTTATATATAATTTATTAAATATAAAAAATAAAAAACACATGAGAAAGAAAGTGAATGAAATTCTTCCATTAAAATTGGCCAGGCTCCAGGATCATCTTTGTTGCTATGAATGGAAAAGAAACTATCACCAACTAAATTGGCTTCTGAGGAAGCTTCTGTTTCTCATTAAGCTTCTGTTAATTTCTCAGTTAATTTGCACATTGTCTTTATTTTGATGATTCTTCAATGAAGTATGTTTTTGTGTCACCTTATTTTAATTTTTCTCAGTTAAAAGGCCATGCTACTAAAAAAGGGTTGAGATTAAATTACCTGTATTTTATTTCTACAAACATATATCTATCATAATGATAATGGAAATGAACAGACTCCTTTGTTGTGATGAGGGTCAAGGAGCATATTTTATTTTGTATTTAGCTTCATTGGTCAAGTTACACATAGAATCAGATTCTCAGAATAATTTTACCTCAAAATTTAAAACTATAAAGTTTCAGCAGCCACCTACTCAGTCCCAGTCCCCCCACCCAGCAAGCAGCTCATGAACTCTCTTCCCAGCCGCTAATTGCTTCTTGCATTATCTTCTCCCTTCTTATTTTTGTACCTTGTCACAACCTCTTGAGCAGATTCCTTGATCTTGGCTTGTTAGCAAGATTAGGTGTTAATAACCCGATGTCTGTATGCAACCATGTTTATGGTCCAGGGGGAGGTTAAAGCTGTATTGGCTTTTTTGTTTTTTGGGGGGGTTTTTGGTAAGCTTTCCTTGGTTTCTCAAAGGCAGTGGTGACCCTGTCCCTCCCCCAGAAAGTTAACAATCACCGTGAGGGTGAATGACTTTCAGATCAGGTGAAAGTTTGTAATTCTAAAGATATTGATGGATCAAGAGCTCCAATTAATGCATTTAGAATAATTCTTTATAATATTGGAAAAGGAAACTAGTTTTGCCTGTGAACTTGAGACTCTTCCTCTTATAAGAAGTGTAGAAGTTGACTCCTTCCGTGGCTCCTGGCCTTGGCAGCAACACCACAGCCAGTATCACAGCCAGAGTTGATGGGGTATCAGACTACAGAAGAGTGAAGAAGTGGGGAGCTGAGGAGATAAATTCTCCATTACATGGGGGAGAGCATAGTCATAACTTTCAGATCTCGACTTACAAGTTAATCCTTGTTTAGAGGAAGGTTTTGTTTTGTTTTTAATTTGTTACAGCAGTGCTCTCTGGCCTTTATTTTCACTAAGAAACCGGTGTTAAGGAATACAGTATAGCGAGCAGGGGAATCTTTGTTTGCATATCCATAAAGTATCGCAGGAAAATGTAAGAAGTAATATCTTTGGGAAGGGAAACTGGGAGGCTGAGGGAAAAGGGTGGGAAGGAGACTTACCACTATTCATCCTTCTAAACTTTTTCAATTTTGAGTCATAGGAATATATTTCCTATTAAAAAGTCATGGGAATATATTTCGTGTTAAATTTTTTTTTAAACTTGAAATAACTATACACTATGACCAACGTGTGTTTTATAGATATAGATACAGATGTAAAAAATGACTGTTAAAACCAAATCCCAAATACCTATTTATTTGAATGATATACCTTTATATGTAAATATGTAAGTCCATGCTAAACATTGCTAACATCAGTACAGTGCCTGAGCCGGTTCTGCCGTGTAGATAGTGCTTAATAAAAATGGATTGCTAGACCAAAACCCAAAACGTTGCGTAAAGAAAAGTACGATGTCCTTGACAAGACTTGCAGACCAGCTGCATGGTTGTTAACAGCATCAAGTTTCAGACAGCCTGCCCCTGCTTCCCCTTGACACCCCTCCCCTCATTAAAAAAAAGCCATAATGTAATGATGATGGTTTGCCTCCTTTGTTACTATCGTGAGACTTTACCACTGAGTTACCGGATGACTGATTTGTCAAAGATCCTGTAAAATCACCCAACGCCTGATGAGCACAGGGCTTCTATTTGAGACTCAAGATCCAGAGGCCGAGGTTAAGTAGTATATTAGCAGCATTTCAGAGATGAAGCAAAAGTCCCCAGAGAAACGGATCCAAATGACTTACCTGCCCCCTCTGTAGCTTGCCTGGATAATTAAGTAGTTTCTGAGGTGATAACACACGAGACTTGAATGACAGCACCATTCCCCAGTATGAATGTTTTCAAGGGATACCTGGAGCCCTTTTTTTCTGTTTGAAGATGCTAAATCAACTTCAGAAGTATCATCCCAAGGGCCCATATTCAGAAGCAACTTGTTATATATTTTATGAGATTGCTAGAGGTTTCTCAGTGAACGTTACTGTTAATAATTGTATAAAGTTTTGTGAAATTTTAAGTTCTAACATTAGGAGAACAGTTTTGGCTTGTTTATTTTGGTAGTTTATTATTTTAATAAAAATTTGTCTTTGAATGGATACTTAAAATGTTTTTAAAGGTACGAAAGTAGTTGCAAATCTTTACGCCATTCCCATTCCTACCTCTTTTAGAGGTAACCATTGTCAGCAGTGTCTGAAGTATCCAGAGACATCCTGTATACCTCTAAGAAACTAAGTAGGTGTATTTTTTGTTTTTGTACAGACGTTAATGTCTACATTGTTCTGCACCTTGTCTGTTTTACTTAACGTATCTTGGAGGCCATACCAGTACATTGAGAGCTACATCCTCTTTTTTGTGTGTGTGTGGGGGTGATTTTCTTTCTTTTTTTTTTTAAAGTCTATTTATTTATTTTTGGCCACGTGGCATGCAGGATCTTAGTTCCCCGACCAGGGATTGAACCTGTGCTCCCTGCATTGGAAGTGCGGAGTCTTAACCACTGGACCGCCAGGGAAGTCCCACCTCCTTTTTTTATCAGCTGCATAATAGTCTATTTTGTACTTGAGCCAGTACTTCTCCTATTTAAAAAAAAATTAGGTTGTTTCCAATCCCTTTCTATTACAAGTAGTGTTGCAACAAATATACAGATATCAGTTAAGACTGATGTATGGGGCTTCTCTGGTGGCGCAGTGGTTGAGAGTCCGCCTGCCGATGCAGGGGATAACGGTTCGTGCCCCAGTCTGGGAAGATCCCACATGCCGCGGAGCGGCTAGGCCCATGAGCTATGGCCGCGGAGCCTGCGCGTCCGGAGCCTGTGCTCCGCAACAGGAGAGGCCACAACAGTGAGAGGCCCGCGTACCACCAAAAAAAAAAAAAAGATGTATGAAATGTGCATGTAGCTGCTTACAGGTTAAATCCCTAAAAGTAAAACATCTGTGTCAAGCAACTTCCATTCTGAATTTTGATAGTTACTGCCCAATTGTCCTCAGAAAAACTATGATTTACGCTCCCACCACAGTGTCTAGAGAGTGCTTGTTTCTCTAGAACCTTGCCAGCAGTGTTATCCATCTCTGAAACCCTCAACTAGTTGACAGGTGACATGTAAGTTATATTAGCTTGCATTTCTCATTTTGAATGAGGTAGAAAATTTTGCATATATTTGACGACCATTTGTATTTCCTTTTTTGTCAACTGTTTTTGCCCCTGGCCTGTTTTCTATTAAAAGTCTTACTGACCCACGGGAACTTTTTATATTTTAAGGAAGTTAGCTCTTGATCTGTAATGCAAATATTTCCCCCATTTTGTCTTTGATTTTGTTGATGATGTATTTGCCAACCAGATTTTTTTAAGTAGCTGAATTTATGTTTTTTAAAAAAATTTTTTAATGGCACATGCGTTTTATGTCTTGTTTAGAAATGCCTTTATAATTCCTATAAGAAAATTCTATGGATGGTTTTACTTTGATAGCAGTTTTGAAGGCCCATGTGAGATATTTTTGTGAATTTTAATTCAGTATATGTACTTTCTGCAAATTTTCTGTTTTATTTTCCCCTCTAATATTTCCAAAACATTTTAGAAAGATAGCCATGAGTTGCAAAAAAAAAAAGGTAACTTTTTCCAGGTTTACCTCAGGGAGATACAGCTCATCCTCTAGGAGGCCAGGGAAATATGCCTTGTGCTCAGTCAAGCCATTTGAGTGAGGTGAAAATGCTCTCCCTCTGGCCAGATTTTGATTTCTTCTGGTTTCTTCGGGCATTTCTCAGGTTGCTTTCTTTACCTGTGTGCTTTTAATGGGTACTAATTAATTATCTCTTTAAATATAGTTAGGTGAATAATTTGAGAGCAAGGTACCACTGGCCTGGTCTTGAGTACAGACCAGGATTCTTTTTAACCAACTCAAATGTGGACCTGATCATCTATGTTTATGATCATTTCCTCCGGACAGAAACTATTTTTTTCTATTTATATTTGGTATAATCACTGAATGGATGCAATATTTATGTTAAACAGTCATGCGGTAGTCTTAGCACCCACCCTTCATCCTAATTTATTCATAGTTGAGACTGATAGTTCTTGCCACCAACTGCTTCCTATAAAATATAATGAAGATTGATGAAATATGGATCCTTCTAAAAAGTTTTGATCTCTCACTCAGGTGCTCTGTAAATTCTTACTTGGAACATTACATAATTAATCCTACTAATGTAGTGAGAAATTAAAAGCAGATTAATATAAAGTGAAATGTCTATGGGTATAGTGTTGGTGACTCCTTTGATGGGTTTGTTGATGATTGTCAAGGTGACAGTCATGTGGGAGTTCATCACTTGAAGTCACATTGGCAGTTTTCCTTTGGGCCTTATAGACTGGAATAAAGAGCAAAGTTAATCTTACTACTAGTAATACAGTAATGGTTTTTGTCCAAAACATTGAGCAAATACTAAGATGATTCATTCAAGCTTTATTTTATTAATAGAAAATAAATTTCTTCTCTTGTCATCTTCCTAAGCAGAACTTGAATTTTTGGTGAATTAGTAATGTTAGGAAGGAATTATTACTGTTAGCACACAGTGATTTGACAGGTGTTTGATCCTTGCAGGGTTTGGGCTGCTTTTTAATGTTTGTTTAGATTACTCCTCCAAAATAAGCTTATTATATTTCTGACTGTATCTTCACTGTTATTCAATAACAGGTGAAAAGCTTCATAGCTTAGTAATTTTTTTTTTGGCTCAAAGGAAATCAGCTCAGTAAGAGGAAAAGAAACTGGACCATTTATAGTTGTCAGTGGTTGCATAGTAATTAGCCAGTGCTTGGGATATATATTCAGATTCCAGGCTGTCTGCAGTTTGTGCTTTGTCTATTTCAATATTTTTAAATGCTGCTTTCCCACCTTTTCCTGTTTAATAGTTATTGGAAGAGAGTTTCCTTGTTGAGAGGGCTAGAGCTAATGAAAAAGTTAATTTTTAATTTTAAATCATTTGAAGTTCCAGATTGAAGTATATATTTTAACACTGATAGTGCAGAGAATCCCTGTGGATGTTAAAGAAAATTTCCTGTATGTAGGCCTAGAAATGTGGTCTCAGCCACAGAAAATCTATAGGACGTTTTTGTCAAAAATGTGAAGGTGGGAAAAGGCATAAACATAGCAGAATCATATCTGCTAAAGCTACTCTGTTAAGCTTTATGACAGTATCTGCAAATTTACAAAACACTTCAATACACATTTTTTTTGTTGCTTCAGACTCTACAGCTTAGCTCTTTGGTATGAGAGGCAGCCATGTTGCACATCTACTCTTCCATCTAATGACAGCTTAAAAATTAAAACGCAGAGAGTGTTTGTGTTGTGTGCTTTATTTTTCTCTGAACTGTTTTATGGTAGGGTATGAGGAATGTGATGTAACCTCTGTGAACTAATATCCATCACAGTATTTTACTATTCTGACTATTGGATGAAATACCTGTCTTCATACAGGTAACCTTTTAAATCTCAGCACTAATGACATCATAGTAGGATATGAAGGATAGAAAACTAGTGATAAAACTAAATGACCCATTTTTACTTTTGGGAAGCTCTAATCTAATGGAATTGAATTTAATCGCGATAGATGAAGACTCCTCCATAGAGACCCACTCCATCTAGGTCAGGGATGGTCAAGTGTGTTGCCTTTGTCAGCTGTCATTTTTGTCTTCCATGCCAGATTTATCTTCCATTAAAACTGATAACACCTCATACTTTATGGAAGTTTTTCTACTATAATGTAGAAATGCCATGGCTATTTTACAGATGAGCATGCACAGAAAGAAAGCATGTGCGTGTAAGATGTGTGTTAGCTACATTCATAAGGGACTTTAAAGTGAGTATTCTCCAGGTAAAATCCCATTCAGTAATTTGAACCAGAACTGAAAACGGTTTTCTTAAGCTCCAAAGGAAATTATGGAGGAATCTGGTAGATTTTTTGCACTGTTTTCCACTTGCGCATTTTATTTCTGCGGTGTATGTAGCATAGGCAGAGAAATCAGCCTCATTGGTTGTCTCCGTGTTTCTCTCTCTCCTCAGATGCAGACAGACATGCGGACCTATCTGGAAGTCCACTGAAAAGCAAAAGCACTAGGAAACCTTTGGCATGTATCATTGGGTATTTAGGTGGGTATTTCCTAACAGAAGAAAAACTCAACAATTTCTGTATCTTATAATCGGCTCTTCAAAATTGACATACCTAAATTAAATGCAAGCCTTTCAAGTAGCTGCAATTGGATACCTTATACCTTCATATGTATAGTCAATTTATTTTATTTCAGAAACTTATTTTTATTACCAAAACACACACAAAACATACAGTTATAGATAGGTTTACTTTTTCCAAAAATATTGAATAAAAATGTAATGTATATTTATGGATATAAATACAGATTAAGCAAAAAGAGGAAAATAATCACTAAATTATTAGAGGATGAATATTTTTTTTTAACTGAAGTATGATTGACTTACAATGTTATATTAGTTTCAGGATCACCACATAGTGATCTGCCATTTATACACATTACAGGATGATCACCGTGATAATTCTAATTACCATCTGTCACCATTCTAGGTTATTATAAAATTAAGGATGAATATTCTTAATATTTTTATTTAGATCCTTCTATTATTTCAAACCCACCTCACCCCTCCCCTTAAATAGAGAAAGATTGGTTTATTTACTTTAAAAAAAAAAAAAAACAGATAAAACTGGCTTTTAACCCACCTTCAAACAATATTTATAGTTTTAATGTGCCAATTAAGGTTACTTGAAAACATTAGTATTGCTTTCTGGTTTTTATCATGTTATTTAACTTGGAAGTTGCCAAAGGTGATGGTTCCATTTACATTTTGAAATATCATAATTAGTAATAGTATAAAATTACTAGGCAATAACCTTTTTTGGGGGAAAGTTTTAAGGTAAATAATTTACAAAATAATGACTGCTAAAATGGTTCCTACTATACCTAGAAGCTATAATGGCATGTTTTTATGCTTCTAATATTCTTGCTTTTTCATCTTCTCAGTAAAAGTGAAGTATGTTCTCAGAGTTGCATTGAACCTTATTACTTATATCTATGAAAGATTTATATTTGTGAAGTGTTCAGACTTAAGACATCCAGTCTTTTAAAAAAAGAAAGATTTTGTGAAGTGTTCAGACTTAAGACATCCAGTCTTTTAAAAATCAAAGTGTAGCCTTAAAGTTGGTATATTATCTGGTCCTCATCCGAGCATCCTAGGAGTCAGAAGTGCATAGCTCCTTCTTTGATGTTACTTTGCCACCTTATTTCCTGTTTTATTCCTCAGGGCCTAAAGAGTTGCTTTGATAGCCCCCCACAATATCACATGGTTATCACAGGCACGACCTAGCTCATGGTGATCAAATCCTTGAAGTTTGCTATCTGTGTTCCCTTGCAGGGCCTAATCCTAGAAGCCCCTCCCACCTTGCAAGGGAAAGTTTATGATCATAAAAAATAGAATATAATTGCATATTAGTCAGCATTTCCATAGGTAATTATGTGTTCCTGCTATGGGCAAATTGGTTTCTGTCTCTATCAGATAAGCCCAAAGCAGTGCTGTCCTTACTAACTGAACCACATCCCTCTATAACATATTTCTGAGTATTTACTATGTACGAGACACTTCACTAAGTGATTTGGGGAACACCAAGGTGAATACAACCTTGCCCTCAAAAATCTTCAACTAGCAGGGAAGGCACACAGGTAAGAACAATTGAGCAAAGGATTAGATCCTGTAAAAGAATTACAGGTAATAAGCATTGGGCACTTGGAGGAAGGGGTAGCTATTTCTGATAGGCGTTAGGGCACCTTATGTGAAGAAAGTAATAGTTGATCTCAAGCTTGAAAAATATGTAGTGTTTGAATAGATAGAAAAAGAATGCTTTTCCCTTTATTAGGCCAAGAGAACTAGATGAACAAAGGCTCTTGAGAATCGGATCAGGGAAGGCAGGTTTTCTGGTCCTGTTGGAGCATAGCGTATGGAGGTTGTGATGAAATATGAGGTTGGCAAACCTTCAATACCATGTTGAAAAAAAAATCAGCACTGTAATTTGGTTAGTACCTGATCCATTCCTAAATTTCAGCAAGTGTAGGATTTTGACCAGACCAATACTCCTAACAGCCCTTCCTAAATTTCAGTAAATAAGGCTGATATCCTGGCCCTCACCGGGGAAGACAGGGTGGCTTGTGCATGATTGGCATGTTGGGTATGACACAGAATCAGTGAGCAGGTTTAGCTTTAGAGAAGAGGTTGCCTGGTAGACTGAGGTCCTTAAATCCAATTTCTACAGTGTTGCAATTTCTGTCCATCTACTGACAACTACATACTTCACATAAACACACATGTACCACATGCACATTACTGTTTTGTGATATATCCTCTGTCAAAGTTTTCTTCTTCTGCTTTTTTTTTTGGCCATGCCACGCGGGACCTTAGTTCCCTGACCAGGGATCAAACCCACGGCCCAGCAGTGGAAGTGCAGAGTCTTAAATCACTGGACCACCAGCGAAGTCCCATCTTCTGCTACTTCTTAACTCTAGTATTTGGAGTTTGGTGTCAGATTTCACCTATATCAAATTGTTTTTGGCTGGGAGTGGTTGACCCTGGTCCTGTATCCTAGTTGCAGAGCCAGAGGAGGAATCCTGTTTTTTCAGAAAGCTCTCACACACCAGGTGTGCTACGTGCTGTCTATGTTCCTGGTTTGATGGAGCACAAAGGTAGTTTTCTTTGAGGCTACCTCTCCAGATAGCCTTTGAATTTCTAATTCCTTGAAGAGTCAGACGCCTTATTCCCCTCATACATCTCATGTTTAAGTGACCTTCTGAAGTGGCTTTTTTTTTTTCTTGTGCTCACAACATGAAACTCAGAGCTTCAGCTAAGTAGGGGCAGAACCAGCTCCCTTTTGATAAATAAAGCCATGGTAACAGCACTTGAAGTTGATTCATTATGCAAGTCCTTGGGAAAATAAGCTGGTTCATAAGGAACTGGCTCTTAGCTCATTAAGAAAGAAGAATAAGATGTGTGCCTATTAGCCGACGTAAGTGCACACAGATTTTTAATAACCATGTTCTGAGTTGAGAAACCTTTCTTCCCCCGTCAGAGATCCATCCTTCGAAGAAACCTAATGTAATTCGATCTACACCAAGCCTACAAACCCCAGCTACCAAGCGGATGCTAACCACCCCGAATCACACGTCTCTGAGCATTTTGGGGAAAAGAAACTACAGTCATCACAATGGCCTGGATGGTATGTAAGCCCAGGAATTCTGGGGGCTGATCCCGTAGGCTAGGGCTTCTCTGCCCTTGCCTGCTCCGGAGTGTTGTCTGCCACATCCAGGAATGTGTAACAAATGGGTTCTTCTACGCCCTGATTGAACTGTGTGGGGAGGGGGATATGAGGGAAGGCTGCCATGGGCCACAGGGAAGACATATTGCCAAGTGACATTTCTCCATCTCCTCAGAAGGGAACTTTTGGTTCACATTTCCTGTTAGGAGGCTTGTTTGAAAATGAAGTCTGTATTTAGCAGGTTGCCTCTTCTGGGTGATGATGCTCTTGCTGTGGTGCACACTCACTGCTCATTTATGTTTTCTTGAGCAGAAGGGATTATTCCGCCTTATGTCTGAGACAGCAGTGCTGTCTGGGGGTTCTTCGGTGTTCTGTGGATCATTTTAAATTTGGCATTTGTCCCTGACTTCTTTCACCTTATAAATGTTCTTAATTGCTCAAGAGTACTACAAGTCATGAAGAGAATTGCATGGTTGATGTCTTAAATACAGAGATAATAATTTGTTTGAAATGGAAAAACTGAGAAATATCACCTCTTATCCAAAACACTTCTCTTGGGCTTGGCCATATAATGGCTCTTCAGGTGGAACTGAATTATCTTCCCATTCAGACTATAAACACAAGTGTAACAAATCGTCCAGGCAGTATATATTGTTGATTTCAATATTCAATATTGATTTCAACTCCTGGAGTTTGAAGATGTCTTGATTGTTTAAATGTTGGCATTTATTTATGAATAAAACTGTCTCCAGGCTTTTCATGCCTTGTGGGACTCTAAATTCCTTCAGTGACAGTAAATTATTTATAACGAGGCCCTAGAGCAAGGATGTGGAATAGACCTTCTAGTAATAATTTCTCATGGCTATTTTCCTTCAGAATGACTTTTGATAGTTATGGTGATGTCAAAATGAATAAAAAATTGAGGATGAAGAGTTTAGTTTGCATTTATAGGATATCAATGTGTTGTAGACTTAATTCACCTCTCTAGGTCTCATTTTTCTTAATCACTTTCATTTATTCAACCAACGTTTATCGGGCACCCACCAAGTTCCAGGCACTGTGCTTTCAAGAATTTAGCTACACCGTAGTCTTGCAGAAATACTTCCTTGCTAGTGAGAACATCGGCCATCCTTGCCTCAATATGCCTGATGTCTAGTCAGAAGAAGTCCAAGGAAGGATTGTGTCAAACTGTGGAGATTGGATTTCTTTCCAGCTTTTCCTTGCCCACAGTGTGGGACCTTTAGGTTCAGGCTTAAATGGAATAAGGAATCTTTCTTTTCCATCTTATCACCTCCCTGGACTGTCTAGGTATATCGTCCTACTGCAGAAAGTAAGTTCTGGTTTATTTGATATTTATATATTCTTTATGGTAAAAAGACTCTCGCTGTGACTGATGCTGGAACAGCAGCTTTCTACTATCTTTCTCCACTCACACCCCATGGTCATGGTCATTCTGGGCCCCAGTCCTACTCCTGCATTGCAGCTCCTTTTGTTCTTTCCTTGTATCACAGGAACCTGTCTCTTTGGAATTTCTAAAAAATGCCATTATGTAGTGTTTCCTCTCTAGGGCTGTTTGTCCCATTTCCTTCTGAATGAATACTTTTGCGAGGTCATTGCTTCTGTGCTCTGAACAGGAGGAATGGACAGGGCACACAACGAATCCCTGGTGTTATGTTGACCGAGACCTTCAGCCTTGTTGAGGAAAAGACACTTGTCTCATTTTCTGAAGAGACCTAGATGTTACACTTTTTTCAAGACCCATTTGTCTTTGCTCCCCTGTCATGGTACAGAGAGGAAGGCTGATGACATGTGCCTTACCTGCGTTATCTCATCTGATTCCGTTGACAGAAGGTTCCGGGTCAGGGGACTTAACTGTTTTGCATAACATGGTATCTCTACTGCCTGGCACAGTGCCTGGAACTTGGGGGGGTGCTCAATAAATGTTAGTTGAATAAATGAAAGTGATTAAGAAAAATGAGACCCAGAGAGGTGAATTAACTCTTCCAGAGTTACCAAGTACTCCGTAAATGGGTTGGGGTTCCCATCCAGGTGTGACTGATTTCAGAGTCTGCTCTTTTTTTTTTTTTTAAATTATTTTTTATTTATTTATTTTTGACTGTGTTGGGTCTTCGTTTCTGTGCGAGGGCTTTCTCTAGTTGCGGCAAGCGGGGGCCACTCTTCATCACGGTGCACGGGCCTCTCACTGTCGCGGCCTCTCTTGTTGTGGAGCACAAGCTCCAGACGCGCAGGCTCAGTAGTTGTGGCTCACGGGCCTAGTTGCTCCGCGGCATGTGGGATCTTCCCAGACCAGGGCTCAAACCCGTGTCCCCTGCATTGGCAGGCAGATTCTCAACCACTGTGCCACCAGGGAAGCCCCAGAGTCTGCTCTTTTAACCACTGTTATAAATGAAGCTGAGGCTCTCAAACGTGCTGTATTAGTCGGCAAGGTAGAAACTACATAAGTTATTTTAACAGCTCTTGTAATATCAGAAATCAATATGACAGATATTGAAGGACAGAATAGGTAAATGGGGAGCATGGGCTGGGGGACAGGAAACAGCCACCATCACTAGAGCTGCGAGAGCAAAAGGGACAAGTTGGGGTTATCACAGCTAGAAGCCCAAGGAGCTGGAACTCAGACCCTTGAGGAAAGGGCACTGCTCTGTCGGTGCTGGCATCACTCAGAAAGTGTGATGTGGCTGGTTCTGGGAGTGTGAAGACAAGCTGGGGACCGACACACACTGCTGCTGCTCCTTGGGGTGATGCTGGCGGGAGCAGGAAGGAGCAAGCCTCTTGCCGTCCCCCAGCCTTGTAGGTGCCCTCAGGCACCCCCTGCTGGTGCAACAGGGATCTGGATGGCAGAGTTGAAATGGATCTACGGAGTCCCAACCCCACCCAGAATCGCAAAGCTGAGTTTAAGTGGATGGACGTGGAGCTGAGAGGCAACAGTGGAACAGAAACACATATTTTAGAAAATGTCCCCATTTTTGTATTCCCTGTGGACCTTTTCCTTGGGATAATGCATCTGTTTCTTGTTTCCCCAGGATATAAGATCCTGACTAACGTGAGTTTCCAAGGTGAACTCAAAGTACTAGAAAAAAATGTTAGTTAGGCTAATAGTGAGTTTTCATGGGAGAGTTAATACCATTATACACTGGAATTGATAGGTACAAATTCATGGAAGAGCTTTGCCCTGTGTGATCCAATAATAAAATCAGCACTGCTGTAATTGTCAGCATGTCAGACAGATGAGCACACCAAAGAGGATGTTGGTGGGCAGAACCAATCTAACCGGAAGCAAAGCCTGATTGTACTGAAATATCCAGGTCTCTCGGCTTTAGGGCTTCCTGTCCCCTTCTTAGCAGCTTGCCCCATTTGCTCAGCCTCCACCCTCAGTTGGAGGTTCTTCATAATGGGAAGAGAGTCTCTGGATTTCTGCTGGTAGAAAGGATTTTACCTGACATGTAAAAAAAAAAAAAGATGGACAGCTCCTTCTTATCTTCTGAAAGTCACTGTCTTTCACCTGGCCCTGGCCCTGGTCCTTGAAAGGCCCTGGTATGACTGGGGGCTGGAAGTCAGCACTCTGTGTCCTGTTAACCTGTGGCACCCAGCCACACACAGGCCACTGTGACTGTCCTAATGGAGCTTAAATTCCAAGGGTAAAAAACAAAACCTGCATACATAAGAAGCCTCATTTTTTGGAGTCAGTGTAGACTTACCCAGATCCGTATCAGTTCCCCTACTTTCAGCCTTTCCTGTCAGGCTGTAGGTCCAGTGGTGTGCCACATGCCGTCATGGTGCTTTCCAAATCCTGTCTCCTTTTCTGACTTACAGATGCTTTGATGACATTCCTAATGCCAGCAAACCACGTATCTACCACATTTGGCTGACTTGGCTAGCACCAGGTGGCTGTGAAGAGAGAAGGCCCTGAGATCAATGGGGATAGAGGAGGCATTACTTTCCATGTCTGAGAGCCCAAAAGGGAGGGCAGCAGGGGAGATGGAATTTGTCTGTGCCATGGAAAAAAGCACATCTGACTGTTCAGAGTCAGAAGGGATTAATTGCTGGCTTCTCTGATTATTTCCTGTGTGGCTTTGGGTAAATCACTTGGTTTCCTTAACCTGTTTTCTTTTTTTTTTTCCCTCTTCTGTAAAGTACAGATTTCATTTGCCTTAACGGTGTTGTTATAATGATTAAAATTTTTCACCTACTTTACACCACTTGATCTTCCAAACACTTTATGAGGTAGGTGTTATAACCTGCATTTTAATAATGAAAAAAACTGAAGCTCTAAGAGGTGAAGGGATTTGCCCAAAGTCACACTGCTAGCAAGTAGCAGAGATGAGATATAAACTCCAAGTCTAAGGTTGTTTCCACTGGGTAAATAAGCACCCCTGATCTGTGTGTTGAGTACAGCATGTACCTGGGAGATGTTTCTGTTTTCTGTGTATCGGAGATGGGTTTGTGTCTGCAAATACAGAGAGGAATGTAGAGCAATTTTTCTTTGCTCAGACTGCAAAGTGTAAGCCATTATTGTCTAATCAAAGCCGTCGCCTCCATCTCCTGCCTCTGTGAAGCTCCTCTGCCCATATCATACCCCCTCCTTTTTCTGGAATTTAGGGGATAGGAGCTATATTAGTGTCAGAGAGAGGGGAGAAAAAAGAAATAGAGAAAAGCCACAATCACTTAAAGGTGATATGTGTTTTAATTAAATTATATGATATTCCCAGCATTGACTCTGACACATAGTAGGTGTTCATTAAGTGTTAAGATTCCATCCCCTCCTTTAAAGAAGAACCATTATTAATGTTCTATTTTGAAAATTGTTACAATATCAACCAAAGTTTTTGTAGTCATATGTGAATTGTATATAAATAAAATGTCAATACTTTCCTTATAATTACATTGATTTCTTACCTAAAGGTATGATTCTCAAAAAAATGACTCTTGGATTTGCTTGAAGGTAAATCGGTATGTTCCAATGTATATTTGCACATAAAAGGGGACAGATCTATAAAGAAAAATTGCCCTTAAGTTATTTAGAAGAGTATTAAAGACTAATTAGGTTTATAAAGAGGGCTCATTCAGCTTCCTGTAGTTCCTGTGATTAGAGACCCTATGGCAAAGGGGATGGAACACCATCAACCTGAGGCAGCGAAATCTTTTTCAGAGTGAAGCCTGGGTCAGAAAAGACTCCAGAGGTGAGAGGAGCAGAGGAGCTGTACAGGCATCTCTCACCCTCTCCTGACCCCCTAAGGAGATGCCTGGGATCCCCTCCCCACCCGCTGTCAAGATGCTTGAGTTTTGGTCAATCAGCAGATCTTCCATTGCACTGCACAGGGACGAGGGGACTTCCTGCTATGTCTCCATCTTTATCAAATGGGGACCCTTGAGAATAGCTTCTGCTGTGTAGTGATACAGACCAAGGGAGCATCAGCTGGGGGTGCTCTTAACCTTTCTGTGAGATGGCATGGCTTTTGTTCCAAGGGTACTACTGAAGCAGGACTCAGTGTGTCAGGAAAACCAAAGGAACAGGCTCAGAAGAGAGGTGAGTTTTCAGTGGGACAGAGTCAGGTCATCTGAGCGAGGAAGTTGATGAATTGTACAATAAACTTCTTTTTAATCTGCTCTCCTCTGGCTTATTTCCCCTGCGGTATGTGAGTATACTGCAGATCGTTATTTTTCTTATTCGTTTTCTGCATTGAGTAACATCATTTCTCAGTGTCTTTATACCTTGAAGAGGGTATCTAATGTGGATGCCTCTAAGTATAATATTATGATCTGGTGTGTGAAGACTGTCCTTTTGATGACTTGTTTCTGAAATCAGTGATTCAGCAGCTCCAACTGTTTGTTTCCCACCCTGGGAAATGGGTGGTGGTGAGGGCCATTGTACCAGTGAGCGAGCTCTGGGAATGCATCTGCTGTCTTCACAAATCCCAATAAAAATAGACTGCCAGGAGCGGCTGACGGTGCTTCTCGGCATGCTTCGGCCCAGGCTGCCTTCTGTCAAAATTTTTATGTCATTTCAAAAGACTAAACCATTTTTTATGGAAGAACACTGAGTGCCCCTGGACTCACCTCTGGTCTCCTGTCCCAAGGTATAATGTTATAACCTGATTAAATATATCAAAGTACCTTGGAGTTTTGTTTATTTTAATAAATTTATTTATTGATTATTATTTTTTTTACTTTTGGCTGCGTTGGGTCTTTGTTGCTGCACGCGGGCTTTCTCTAGTTGCGGTGAGCGGGGGCTCCTCTTCGTTGCGGTGCGTGGGCTTCTCATCGTGGTGGCTTCTCTTGTTGCGGAGCACAGGCTCTAGGCACGCGGGCTTCAGTAGTTGTGGCACACAGGCTTAGTTGTTCCGCGGCATGTGGGAGCTTCCCAGACCAGGGCTCGAACCCGTGTCCCCTGCATTGGCAGGCAGATGCTTAACCACTGCGCCACCAGGGAAAGCCCCTTTCAAGTTTTTTTCAGTTTTTATAATGGATCATTATGGCCCAGAGTTTGTTGAATGTGAAGCAATTTTAGAAGCTTATCTATTGTATCTGGAGAGTTTAAGGACCGCTGAAGCATCTTCTGAGGGCAGCGGATGTTCTCTCGCACTGTGAAGCCATAGGAAGACAGGCCCGAGTACCTGAGGCGCGAATAATCAACACCTTGGAGTTTTGACACATTCTGGAAGGATGCCAAATTGGCCACCCCTGGGACCATTGCTGGGTTTACTAATAAATATCACAGTTTCTTCCAGAGAATACTCTTGTCCTGCCCCCTGAGGAAAATGCTAGTGTGTGAGCCTGTAAGAGGTCTAGGTTTGAGACCCTCTCAGCAATATGGAAGTCTTAGAAGAGCGACTGAAGTCCGTGGTAGTTACGCGAGGGCCGTCAACTGTGAGAGCCAGCCCTGGCCTCCTCAATCAGCGTCTCTGTTTACCTGCCAGGGTCATTACAGGAAACCTTTTTAACGAACCTATCCCTGTGTATTCCCATTCTCAGTGACGTAGAAGGTGAACCTCTGAGAAAGAAAGTGAACCTCTGACTTGATAGCTGGGTCCCAGTTTTGGCAGGAAGGGTAGATGCTTGGGAAAGGAAAGGGAAGAAGACAGCAGAGGGAGGGAATTGGGTCCCTGAGAAACAATTCTTCCTCAGCAGAGGTTTGACTCATTCATCCAAAGAGCAGGCACAAATGTCTGAGAAAGCCACTGGGGACATCAGTATTAGATCTTGATGCCCCAGGGAAGTAAAGACCAACTCCAGAAACCAATTGATTTAGGCATCTCCCTACACAGTCTCTATTTTTTATTTATTTTATTTTATTTTTAAAATAAATTTATTTGTTTATTTTCGGCTGCGTTGTGTCTTTGTTGCTGCACGTGGGCTTTCTCTAGTTGCGGTGAGCGGGGGCTACTCTTTTATGTGGTGAGGGGGCTTCTCATTGCAGTGGCTTCTCTCAATGCGGAGCATAGGCTCTAGGCGCACGGGCTTCAGTAGTTGTGGCTCGCAGGCTCTAGAGCGCAGGCTCAGTAGTTGTGGCACACGGGCTTAGTTGTTCTGTGGCATGTGGGACCTTCCCCAGCCAGGACTTGAACCTGTGTCCCCTGCATTGGCAGGCGGATTCTTTTTTTTTTTTGGCTGCATTGGGTCTTCATTGCTGCGCTCAGGCTTTCTCTAGTCACAGCGAGCGGGGGCTAGTACTCTTCTTTGCGGTGTGCAGGCTTCTCATTGCGGTGGCTTCTCTTGTTGCAGAGCATGGGCTCTCGGCCGCACCGGCTCAGTAGTTGTGGCTCGCGGACTCCAGAGCACAGGCTCAGTAGTTCTGGCGCCCAGGCTTAGCTGCTCTGCAGCATGTGGGACCTTCCCGGACCAGGGCTTGAACCCGTGTTCCCTGCATTGGCTGACAGATTCTTAACTACTGTGCCAGCAGGGAAGTCCCTGCAGGTGGATTCTTAATCATTGCGCCACCAGGGAAGTCCCAAAACCTGGTCATTTTATGATTCTGCATCACTGAAGGTAATCTGAGGTACTGGATGACAGCAGTGACTTAAATCTGCTGGGTACTTTTTCCTCCAGTGCTCTTCAGATCATCTGGGATGAAGACTTTGCGAGCTTTCTTAATCACGGGCTGTGGCTTCAGTTCTTCCTCAGAGAACTTGGGTTTGCGACGGTCAAACATTTCCTGCCAGGGGATGCTGGAGAGGGCAAGGTCGGCCGGGTCTGGCTCATAGCCCATCGGGACCTGGATGGTGTCAGGGTCAATGGGGCTCGGAGTATTGCGGTTGGCTGGCAATAGCTGGTCTGGTCTGATGGGGCTCTGCATGCAGTTTGGGGATGGGATGCCAGAGTGAATGGGTGCTGAGGTCCGACTGCTGAGGTCCATGACGGAGGGGGAAGCCGGCTGTGGCCCGGGAGTGTGAGGGCTGTGGTCATGCTGAGACGGGCTGGGGGGAATGCCATTTTCCGACAAAAACTCCTCCAGGTCCATGTATTCCACCTGGAAAGTATCTCCGTCATAGGGAAGGGTTTTGTCCCATAAGGTGGGTCCCAAGAATGCTGACTGGGGACCGTCGGGCTCTTACTCTCATCATCCAGCTTCTTTTCCTTGTCTTTATCTTTGCTAAATGCATCTTCGTGATGAAGGGGGAGCTTCAGCGGGTTCTCCAGCAAGGACCCGAGCACGCGGTAGGGAGGTGGGATAAAGGTGGGTTTCAGTGGGAGTGGTCGGGACATTTTCCCCATCGCTATGCACTCAATTTTTTTTTTTTCTTAAAAAAAAACAACCCCAACCTCCCCCCAAAATGTTGCTGAGCTTCTTCCTCCGTCCTTTGCCAAAAGTTCTCGCTTTCAAGGCGGTGGAGACAAGGGAGGAAAAAAAATTACCTATGTCTTTATAAATACATCTGCATAAAAATATAAAACATCTGCATAAAAACAAAAAACGTTCAGGTTCCCAGTGCAGTCCCCAGGGAGCGCGCCAAGTGCCCGTGAGCTCCTCCACGACGTGCAGGGTGCTCTCACTTGCCTCGAACCCCTCGTCTTGTAAAATGTTCAAAATTGCGAAAAGGAAAGAAAAAAGACGCAGACGGCTGCAGAGGGCGGAAGGCACCGCACCAACCGGCCGCATCGCGCCCTCCCACTCCCACCCCTCCCCCTCCCTGCGCTGGGGGCTGCTGCTCCCCAGCGCTCCGCGGCCCCGCCGCCCACAGTCTCTTTAGATCCCAGTAAAGAAGTGAGCAGAAGTCTTCCGAATCTGCAGAGCCCCAGGGGCAATGAAAATGGAAGGATTTGTCACAGCCTAGTTGATCTGGAGACTCCCACTGGGTTTATTTTAAGCTTCCCAACCTTGCTCATTATTTTCCTTCAGTGTTTCCTGTTTTCCCTTCCAGATGACTGAGCACTCTTTAAGCTCAGAAAACATGAGTTATAATTTATGCGTGTTCCTCCCTCAACCAAATATTTATTTTTATCAGCGACTATTTACATATCCATGAATATGAAAAGTAATTAATGTAAGACTGAAGAGCAAGCTTGAAGGCAGCTTTGTTATTAGATGGAGCTTCCTTCCTAAGAAGATATCTGAGAAGACCCTTTCCGTGATGGTCTGATTGCAGCGGCACTGAGCGCCTACAGGAACCCCTCTGGGGCAGTCAGTGAGCTGGGCCAAGAGGAGTCCTGGGGAAATAGGGCTGATTACATTTAAGGCATCTGGGACCAGACAGCAGAAAAAAGGAGCAAAATGTTGGGCCTCCTGCATTGCTCTTCTAATTTTCTTCTTGTTTCTCTCCAGTTTTCTTTCCCTGCATCTTTTTTATCTACTTTCTGGAGAGTACTACTTTACTCAACTTTATATTCAAACCAGATTTGTCTAATTTCTCCCTTTAATTAAGTCTGCCAATTTTTACTTCCTGTAATTTTGAAATTCTGTTATTGAGTATGTAGTTAGAATTTTTATGTCTTTTTGACCTTTTTATCACTATGAAATGATCCTTTTCATTTCTGTTAAATTCATCTATTTTGTCTGATATTAATATGAACACACCAGTTTTCTTTTTCTCCTGTTTTAGTCTTTTTTAAAAGGTTTAAAAATAGCCTTTTATTTTTCACATACACAGACACACACAGACATACACACACGTACATGTATGTATGTATGCACTTTTTTTTATGGAGAGAAAAGTTTACATTTTATTTTAGAACTGAGTCTGAAAATACATAATTACTAGAATTCCCCTTTTATGCTGCTCCTCATATATAATTTGGAAAACAGATTTTTTTTTAAAAGTTTTGTTGGATTATAGTTGATTTACAGTATTGTGTTAGTTTCAGGTGTACAGCAAAGTAAATCTGTTATACATATATATATATCCATTCTTTTTAGATTCGTTTCCCATATAGGCCATTACAGAGTATTGAGTAAAGTTCCCTGTGCTATACAGCAGGTTCTTACAAGTTATCTATTTTATATATAGTATTGTGTATATGTCAGTCCCAATCTGTTTTTAGTTTTTTTTTTTTTTTTTTTTTTT